AAATATCGTATCTATATCGCTACTTAAACTTCTCCTACTGCCCTAAAGGATTATAGATTCATAACTTGGTAATAAAGGGTATTATAAACAAATAAATGGTTATTTAACAGTTAAGTGGAAGGCGGTTTACAGTGTGTCATTTTTATTTCAAGGGGCTTCAAATTTTTAACAATATCAGGAGATTTTATAATGCTGAGGAATAGTATGACGTCATGACAAACATTGTGTTTGTTGTCAAACAATCATGGCCGTTAAAAATCTGTGTGTGAGTGTGTGTGTGTGTGTGTGTGTGTGTGTGTGTGTGTGTGTTTACGCATTTTGCATCTTGCATGTCTAAATGTAAGCAACCCCAAAAAGGAACTATTATAGAGTAATAGGTTAATCTTAATATATCATTGATATAAAACTGTGATTGTAAATTCATTAAAAAAAAAATTATCTGGTCATAAATTGTTTCTGTTTTTTGAAAGGCAAGAAACGGTCAATCAGATAATGCTCTAATAACTTACAGTGCATCTTTCAAACCAGAGTTACAAGGTGCCGCACAGGCTGAAACTAAAGAATACATAAAACAGTCAAATGCGACAACAAAGAAGACTGTTCAGATGTGTCATACAATGATGAGAAATACTGGGATCCCCCCACAGGTCAGGGGTAACTATTATGTAACAGTAAAAACAAAGCTGCCTTTAAAATTAGCCCCAAATACCAGAAACATGGATTTGTCACTGGAGTTCTGAGAAAGGAGGAACTTGAGTATACAAGCGATAACAGAGAGAAGGAAACCAACAGGAGCGCCAGACAGACAGAAACGATGAGACAAGTCATTCACAGGAACTACCAAGTCCCTGAAGTCCAGGTGCCCCTCCCCTTCCACGACTCCACTGAGGGTGCTAAAACGTTTCCTCTTTCCTCAGTTTTTTTTTTTTTCCCTTCCTCCACCTACAGCCTAGGTTGCCGACTGCGAGGCTGTAAGTCCAGGTAAAAGGTCAGGCTTGAACCCTGTTATTGGTTGAATGCCCATCATTGTGTTCTGTTTATATATTCCCACTGGTTTATATTTAGGCCAGGAAGGTACAGCATGTTGCCTCTAACTTCAGCTACAGTCAGGGAGAAAATAGACCATTCTTAGACACAGGAATCTCTGTGGTGTTGTGGGGTGTGTAGTACTGTGTTGACAAGCTCTGACACTGATTGGGGAACATGTTACACATTTAGCTGTCAACATTCAGAAGTAGGAAGGATGAGGTGTTCATGTCAATCACTGCACGTAGCTTGTGCAAAAGCAGAGTTGTGTGCAGCTGGATGAGTTCAACAATCTGTAACTGGGTTTGAAGTAAACAATAAACAAGCTGTTTTCACAAATGCACTCCTAAAAATTAGAGCCCGACCGATCAATGGACCGGCTGATAATATTGACCAATATTAGCATATCACATGACTTTCGGAATCAGCTAATTTTATCTCCAATAAAGGGCCGATATAACTGGTTTATTCAATTTAGGTGTATTATGTATTTATTTAACTTAACTGTTCATTTATTTTTAAATTCGTTTTTCAGTTCATTGTTGTTACTCTGGTCAATAAAGGCTTTTGTTGGATGGAAGATAGATCTAATAAAGATGTCGATGCATGGATCGGTATCAGAATTTTTTTCTCTCCCTTATACTGGCCCCAAAAATCCCATATCGGTCAGGCCCTACTTAATATGTTCAGAACATTTCTGGACAGTCTGCCCCTGAAATCTTACTGAGTTGCTTATTCACACATGTCCGTCTTCAAGTCAAGTTTTCACTGTTGTGGCTGAGAGAGCAGACGTCTCAGGAGTCAGGACATGACAAAAGACAGAACATTTCAGGAAATCAGATTCCAGCACTACTATAATTTTTTTTTTTTGCCGTATGTCAATGCTATCTGTTTTGACATAAAATGTCTTGTCATGTAGCATTGTAGTTAGGTAGACATCTCAAGACATGTAAAGGTGAAGAAAAGACTCTACATGCACCTGATCTGTTCAGTCTCCCCTTCAGTTCCTAAGACATGCTTAGGGCAGCTGTCATTAGAACTTTGATTTCGATGTAAATGATATTTTAAAGTCAGAAACAGTAATGACCTGTAGCATCCAGTTGACATAGACTTAACAAGAAGAGTATCTTGGTTACAAGGTTGACAGTCAAACACTTCACAGTGGCTTCTTTCATCAAATTCACTCAGTCTAAAAGCTCCTTTTACTAAACACTCAACCACTCCAACAATCAACCACACTCTCCTTCACCTTCTCAATCAGGAGGGTGAAGAAGAACCAATGGGGTTCTTCTTCGCAAAGAAGAACCAATGGGTTTAATGCTAAATGATTTGAAGTGTTTGGATGCCATTTCAAGCATAACACCTATACTATTCAACATAGTTGTGAGCATTTATAATTACTATGAATTCTTCATCTGTTGCTTAATGACTGTTATTTTACATTTTTTAATCACTCATGCAACCTAAACAGGCCAGCGTTTTTCAAGAGGTGTGAGGTCATAGGTCATAATCAACCTTAATTTGAAGATAAGAATAAGGAGTCTTATCTTTTCTGTAAAACAGAGTTTGCAGCAGAGAAAAATCAACCTATATTCCACAGAGGTGTATTGATCAACCTCATTGCTTATACTTGTCAAAATCAAAGTGATAATCAAATATTCTATTTCTTTGTTTTGAGACATTAAGATTCCTTTAGTTCACGGTTATGTCTTCACTGAATTTCATTTCAGTGAAGGAGCTTGTAGAATGCATTTTTCCCCTTAACATATAAAATGTGATGCATTATGCTTTAAAATAATGGTACTAAGCTGGCACGGGACATTAAATAATACGCTTTTGGGCTTCCTTTACATCCCTTTGGTGCCTATTGACTTTGATTTAAAAAAGATAACTCACGTATGTCTTTCATCACATCCCATGCATCATCTCCTGCACCATGCCCAGCAACAGATAAGGCCGGTCATGCAAATATGATGAGTGACTGCTCTTATCATCTGCTGATGGCAGGTAGTTTGGTGTGAGCCTTTCCAGTGCAGTGGCCCATTGCAGGCCCACATAAAGCTCATGCTTGAGGAGGGACAGGAGTTCCTTAAAGAACACTTCTAAACAACAGGTTTCCAGTCATGACACTACGCCACTCAGTAAGGTACACTCAGCACTGAGGGGGGGGGGGGGGGGGGGGGTCATCAACAGTCTTTAAAGAGTGAGCGCTGTGCTTCTGTTGTCACAGAGATGGTCAAATTAACCATGAATGAGCCGTCTTTCACAACAGGAGCCTTTAGGGCATGAGATGTGATGTAACACTGTCACAAATGTGTCATTCCCAGGGGCTTGATATAGAAGATATAGAGGGGGGCTTTGAAGTGTCACAATGAACACTGGGCTTTGTTCTCCATCAAGTCCCCCAAAACTCTGCCAACCCCAATCATATCCCCTCCCCCTTATCGCAGAGTCCTGTGTTCCATCACACAGGCCCAGATATGGAGGTTACATAACTTGCTCACAGGAAGTCGCACTGATTCAATTAAGAAAAATGACCCGGAGTGTGTGACTCCTTTGAAGTTTGCATTGGGTTCCTTTGCAAGTATTACCCTCCTTGTAAACAAAATGTTTGTGGTGTGCCAAAAGGTTGTGCTCACATGGGCCAATACAAATATCTGGACAGCTTTTTTTTTCCACATTTCCCATGAAACGTTTCAGCAAGCAGCAGTAATTAGAGGGAGAGACAGAGCAAGAGGACTCCCAGCGGGTTTGGACACAGCAGGGGGCAATATGAAAGCCTCGTCCCTGCGTCCAACCACCTCTCTGGTATTGTTTACTGGCGGGCTGACGACACAGGGGGGTGTTTAATGAACACTGCTCCCCTGCCGGCTGTCTGAAAGTGGGTCTGCCGTTCGGTGTTTTCCTGATGACCCCGTGCATTAACCAGCAGACTGCTGACAAAGAGGTCGGAGCCAGAGTGAAGGGGGCAGTCACTGGAGATTGGGTTTCTTCTGAAGATCGATTCATAATTAAGTGGTTGACAGCAAGCTTTGCAAAGGCATGACATAACTTCTGAATACTGAGAAGGCTATTCATTGTTAGGATGTCATGAGGACTGTTATTCCAAACAGCTCAACAGTTGAGCTAAAATGAATCAAGTCAAAGAAATTCATGTAGGAGCACCGGATAGTCTGGCTGTTATGTCACACGTCCCATGTAAAGAGGCTATAGTCCTCATCGCAGCGGTCATGGGTTCTGACCTCGACCCTTTGCTGCATGTCATCCCCCCCACTCTCTCAAACCCAACATTTCCTCTCTCTCTTCAGCTGTCCTGTCTAATAAAGGCAAAATGGCCATGAAATTAACCTTCACAAAAAAAGAAATTCATGTGAGCAAGGAGAATATTCTTGACACCATGGAGAAAATGTAGGCAAAAGGTTGATTAAAAAGTTGTGGCATCAAACACGACACCCAGTCTGGCTCTTATCTTGGAAGGCGGCATGGTTTGATGGTTTTGCAGATGAGTCTGGGATCTTATCTCAACTTTCATCCAGTGTCTCACAGAACAAGAGCCGGTCCTCCTCCACTCAAACCCCCCCCCCCTCCTTCCTCCCTTCCTCCCCTGTTGCCCCATGTTGTGAACACCAGACGAGGCTATCAATCAGAAGACACAGACTGCACTGGCACTCATACTTTTTCCAAACACAAACATAACAACGTGATCAAAACAGAAAGAACGCGCCGCCATCCTTTTGATCGTCAAGCCAAGAGCGAAGTGAACACATACAGACAAAAAAAAAGATCATAACACTGTTAATTATTATTACTATTATTTTTCTACTATTGATGTATAACCATAGTTATTGTATTTGTTCTGTGTTGTTATATGATGCTTTGGAAATATTGGTATTGTCACATTCATGCCAATAAAGATGTCTGAATTGATAAAAAAAGATTTAAAGAAAATAAAAATAAAAACAGCAAGGACTCACCAGCTTTTGTGTTGTCAGGAACGGAGGAGGTGCTCTGGGAAAGGGAAGAGAAAAAAGATTATAGTTACAATAGTTTCAAGTATGATACATTTACATGAGTCAAATATAAAATCATCTGTCTAAATAAATACCTTCATAGCTCTTCAGCAATGTGTTGAACATATCTAATCTCTTTACATGTCGTCACTTCTTTATTAATCAAATAGCTTCACAATCTGAAATCCAGTCAAGACCAAACAACGGGACGTAACAGTGGTGTTCAAAGCAGATGACCATGAGAGTGACTACAAAAATAAATCATCAGCATTCCAAACATATTCTGTTCTGTTCCTCCAAAAATCACTTAACGGTCTAATGAAAATGCCTAAAAGAAGCCGCAGCGATGCATTGCCACACACATAAACTAGACCAACATCAATCATCCACACAAAGAACTTGGATTCTAAAACATGTGCATGATTTTCTGATTCTGAAGAGAAGAGTCTTAAACAATGGTCAAAACACTCTTTCTAATCTACTTCAAAGGAATCCAAAATGTGAGCATGCAGCACATTCTCGTCAGACTCAGTGTTGATCCAACCCTCATGTAGACTTCACTGATAAAATCACATTTTGTAGTCATAACTGATTCAACCTCTTCGGGGCATTAAATATTTCCTTCTTTGGCTCTGTTGTGGGTTTTAAGGAGAATGATATGACAGCTGGGCTTTCTGGTAAAGAAGAGTCTTGTGTCATTTCATTGGAAAAGTGTGTTTCTGCTTTCTGTGTTTGTGTTAGTGTGGTGGGCAGCAGTTAGTTGGAATGCAGAGGTCTTCTTTTTTTTTGCGACTGACATTTGACCTTTTGGCTCCTTGGTTGACCTCCACGCCCTGACCCATTTTAATCCACACTCCCCCTGGAACAGATCAGAGAGGACGAGCGGGACCAGGTACATTCCCAACACAATTCACCCACTTTGTCCACATTGGCTTTCAGTGTGCAGAACTTGTCAAAAACTTTCCTCCTGATATTTTAATTGAATTTGGATGCCTCCTCTTCGGTGGTGATTTTCTCCCCTCAGGCCTAATTAAAGTGCTTTAGCTCTGTCCTGCTGTGAATACTTATAAGCCTGTTTACTGTTTGGCACCTACTTAGACAGCAGAATCAGCACAGCCAAAAGCACACCAATTATCATCTTAACGGACGTTTGGGGAAATTGCTCTGTTTTTACTTGTTTTCCAACAGACTGAAGCCACTCATCAGCAGCCACTTAGCTTAGGCACAGAGATCAAAAATAGGGTGAACAGCTAGCCTGGGCCTGGGCAGTGTCCACATTTAATAAACTCCACATTCAACTCTAATGAAAGTTTATTAAGTATAAAGTATAAAGACTTCTTTTTGTCTTGTAGAGAGGCATTTTTTCACTCTCTCTGGGTAGCATGACAACCTCATGATGGCCATCTTTTTAAAGAGATCCTATACTGGCTGCTGAGGAGAAGGTGTTTGATTACGAGGGCATATAATGCTGCCCTGGTGACATGCATTCCTAAGGCAAAACAGGCATAAAGAGCATGACGGTATCGGAGGGAGAAATATTTATGATAGGCATCAGTGTTGTCTTGAAGTGTTGTGGAAATTACCAAGACTTGACTCCATACAATAAGAATCAGTTGACTCAGATGGCTTACGTTGAATGAAAGTTTATACATAAGAAGAATACTCATGAGGAGACATGGATCAACGTCACACTTCTGTTCTCGTGTCTTGCTCAATCACATCTGCAGAACTCTTTGAAAGGCATCGCATATATCCCAAAAGACATTATCATTATCAGGGTCGTGTCACATTGACCCACCTAGACTAAACTGTGACGTCAATTAAACTGGAGCAGTCAATAAGTCTACCAAACGTCCTTGCAGATATCAGGAATAACAGTTGACACTCTCTAAGCTGTACGTGGTGTTCTAATAACAGCTGAAGTCTGTCAGGTCTGACTGACATTAGAGAACAGTGAATAAACCTAATGACATCTGTACATTATAATCTAAATAACTACAGAAATTCCACCACATGAAGCAGTAATGAAGGTAAGTGACGTGGGAGTTAAGATGCCCATGCTTGGAGAGCACATTTTTTAACCGCAGGCAAAGTAAAGCAAACAATAGCCCTTTTAACATCGTGAGTTCAAGGCGGGACTTTTACGCCCCTGTTATGCGTCATCTGCGATGTAAAAAATGCGTGGAGGCGAAATGGTAAGGCTAAGGTCGCTATTGGAGGTAGCAAAAGAGGGCAAGTTTTATGAAACATCACGGCCAGCAGGGCAGGAAAACGCTGTGTGTGAGTACATGTCTGATACTGTGTTTGTGCGTAATAGAAGCCTCAGCTGTTTGTTTTGTTTTGCCTCGTGCTTCCGCAACACTTCGAGAAAAATCACACATTTGGACATCAATACTATGACGCCATTACAGGTAGACTCGCAATGTTAAAAAGGCTAAGGCTAAAAAGTCTGCTGTTCAATTTGCTTTCTGCTTTATAACTCCCTTAGTGGTGACTTTGCACAAATAACACGCATTCAAACCTTCACTGTGCTGTCCTCTCCTGCCAGCTATGTCTCTGCCTAAGCTAACACCAACACCAAACATGTGATCTAGCGAGATCAAGAACATGTTGGGCGACATAATTTACCTATCTAACGATATGTTAATGTAGAATTTCTTTATCTTCTCAGATCAGTTCACTGTGATCAAACATAAAACTCTACAATTCTGATGAAGAAGCTCTTGAACACACTCAGACTTTGGAGTAGCAACCACAGAAAAGAAAGAAAACTTGAGACTACAGTTGTTTGGTCTCTCACATATTATGGGGTCCTTGGTTCTTATGAAGAAGCATCACGAGCACAACGCAGTCTGACAGGAGCAAGCACAATGCCTGCTCTCATATATGAGTTTGTTTGTTGAACATGTTGGCTGATTAAAGCCGGATAAAGTTGTCTTGGTCCCAATCTGTCTCTCTCAGATTGTTTAGAAGATTGTGAGCCGTCTGTGCATACAAACTTTATCTGAAATCCAAACAAGTCCATCCGTCTTTGTACGTCTGTCCAGGTGTGTAAGTATATATGTGTACATAGTGTGAACATGCACTTATGCATCAAGGGTGGGCCAAAACAGCATTCAATCACTTCAGGGGTCACGTTTCAGACAAAAAGTGGGTTTAATTCTCCCTGTGGACAAATAGCTTTATGATTTATTGCTGATTAATGATCTTTAAAAGACACAAGGGAGAAGCCCGGCCAAAGACTCCCACTCACATCTGTCACTAAATCACCGGCGCAAACAGAACAACAACAGAGAGGTGAAATCAGAGATAGATTTATATTCACTGCTGGTTCAGCTGTTGGACTCCAGAAACATTAGCTCTTCTTTTTTCAGTCACCAAAGAGTCCGTGCTGCATTCCCCTGTGTGCACACTGCACATATTGTGAGGTTCAGTCAAGACAACACAAAGACTCTTTCAAAAAAAACAAAACATCAGTTGTATATGAACCATCTCTCTCTCTCCAAAGGCCATTGCGCACCCCGTTCAAAATAAACGCAGCGGACTCAGTCTTCAAGGTGTCTGTGCGTTATGTTTTTTTTCTCGGATTACAGATCCAAAAAACAGGATTTTTTTTTTTTAATCGAACTCAGTGGGCAAAGGCCTTAACAGTTTATATGTAGTGAAAAATCACCTATACTGTTTACAGATACCTTATGCAGTGAAAATGAGCATGTATTCTCCACATACATATCAATCCACAGCTGAAAGTAGTCCCTGAAGCTCCTGTGAGAAACTGGATTTTTGCATGTCCTGTGGACCAGCTGAATAATCCTCACAGGAGCTTTTAAAATACCTGTTTTAAGATATAAATTACATTTGCAAAAGGTAATGGAATGTTTGTCTGCCTTTATTAAACAAAGACAATGGAAAAACTGTAAATGATAGGTTGTAATGACTAAGCTTAGGACTGACTGCTGGGAGAGTCAGACATTTCAGAATTGCCTACATGTAGATTGGTTTCATATATTTGTAGGATTGATTGCAATCAGCAGAATAAAGAAAAGTTACAGCCTTTATGTTTAATTCTGTTGGTATACATTGAAATATATATATATTATTCTACATTCAGCATGCACTGATGTGTGCATCAGCACCAATCATTTATTACCCAACATTAAGGCACAGTGGTATTATCATGATTTTTTAAAATTCTATAACATCCGGCGTTCATAACGATAAGCTACATCTCCACATCTCACAGAAAGAGCGGCCTTGACTAATGGAAAAAGTATGGGAGGTCTGTGTAGCTTCTCTGCTTAACACTAACAAGACATTTCAGTTGACCAGAGTGCGCCCTTCCTATTGTGTAAACAGCACACCACGGGTTCCTGTCAATGACCCATGAAGTCACTTAGACACAGTGTAAATCTCACCTTTACACAATGCTCTGTTTTACCTCATAATAGCAATTACAGTGGAATAAATGTGAGTCCAGAGTCGAACAGGAATGTGAATGAATGGGTGCCAGTAAGTACCAGTGTTTTCATAGCACCACGCTCACATATTTCCCCATGTTTTCCTGCGTTCCCCGTGGCATGCCACAGTGCAGGTTGACTCAGTGTGGGGTTGTGCGGGCCGTGTCAGGTGTCCACTGGGAGCTGTAGGCTGCACAGCACACAAGCGTCAGCTGCCACATTTACTGCCACTAATTTACTGGAAGAGGGTTGTGTGGGGCATGGGGGGTAAGGTATGTGTTTGCTTTACTCACACATGTGAGTGTGTGTGTGTGAGTGTGTGTGTGTGTGTGTGTGTGTGTGTGTGTGTGTGTGTGTGTGTATGTGTGTGTGTGTAGTGGGGTGCAAGCATGTGCGCCTGCATGATTAACCACAGTGGGGTCATTATTGTCATTACTGCAGCAAGAAGCCGAGGAAAGTAGGGTCTTAAAACAAATAATTAGAGTTTGAGAAATGATTAAAGAATTGCCAAGAGAAACGTTTTAACTTGTTTCTGAGCTCT